GCGCCATTACAGTTCGAAACATGCTAAACATGATGAGCTGAGAGCTCAACGTTAACGCTCTTCCCCAGAGTTTGAGTCCTTAACAAGCAGCTCTCACACGACCACAGACAGACAGAGAATAACGTGTGCAAGTTTTGTGGTGAGTGCATTAATAGCCATGAAACCTCATGAGGCTTAGTAACACGGTACTTTGTAAAAAATGAAATGGCCCCCACCCCTGCTTTAAAGGAAACAAATGTCAGCTATATTAAAATGAAGAAGGATGGTGCTGAAAAAGGAGTGTAAAAAATAAAGAAATGTGGATCCTTTACACTATGAAAAACAAATGTAAGAGAAAAAAAACTTTGTATGCAAAAAAACAGTCAGTGGAGTAAAAAAATGAGTTATCTGAGAAATGGAGCATTTCCACAAATAAGCAGCAGTAAAAGTCAATTCACAATGAAGCTGGTCTTTTTTCAGAGAACTGCTTTTTCATTAGATTATGCTTTACTTCTGAAATGTTTTGTTTTCCATTTTCAAGATCAAACTAAACATTAAACTAATGTTTTGAGTTAAAGGCTTTTTCATTACTTGATATGCAGGAAAGAGACCAAATAAGCTCTCAGTGCTTCATTTCAAATGCCGGTCACGGATCAGGAACTTTATTAAAGTGGTGCTGCACTTTAATAAAGGCTTTAATAATCCTCTGCTGGAAGGAACAAGCTCATGGTATAGGAGACGAGACGGAAACACAACGTGCAGATGTAATGAAAACCAGGAGGAGCAGCATGGTCCCTGATCCTTCATCAACAACTCCACCTCCAAAAAATGTCAAATAAAACAGAACACATGGATTTCCATAATATCAGATTATGTTCACAATAGAATTGACAAAATATCTAATTTTAAGAAAAATAAATGCTCATTTTGAATTTGATGACAGTAGTCCATCTCAGGATGCTGGGACAGGCCGTGCATTCCCACATGCATGCATCATGAGTCCATAAACATCTGGGAACTCAGGAGACCAGCTGTCATAAGTCAAAGGAGACTCTGAAGTTCTGGACTCTGCATTCACAACCCAGCAACCGACAGAGCTGTTTAACAAGTGTATTTACACAAGGTTTAAAAGGCAGCAGGACCTGAGGCTGATGAATCACAGGACGGTGATTCAGGCAGCTGTTTTGTCAACAAAGGAGAGAAGACTCGGTCAGAGCCAGAGCAGAGGAGTGGTTAGACTATCCTGACATCCTGGGAGGGACGGGAGGAGCGGTAGCAGGTGGACAGGCAGGTAAGTTTCCTCAGTTCCTTTCTCAGTGCACACAGATCAGCTTGGAAATCCTGGGAAAGACGTCTGTTGCAGGTCAGTGGCTTAACAGGTATGCTGACTGGTCACAGTCTGAGAGGTTTGGCTCGAGCGGGTCTTAAAACTAATCACTAATCCTCAGATGGACGGCATGTGCAGCAGGCGAGAAGCGATTTTCAGTTGGTGTACGGTCCGGACTGCAGGCTGCCACTTGAGCACTTGGACTCTATCCAAGGAGCTGTGCTGCGGGAATAGGAAGGCCTTCCCTGGAAAAGTTGTCGTCTGGATGGAAGCATATGTAATACCATCAGAGATGCAGGTTTCTGAACTGAGTGCTGATAACAAGCCAGATGTTCCCTCTGCTCTTTAGTCCAGAGGCCGTAGCATCCATGATTTCCAAATAGAATTTCACATTTCAGTTTGTCTGACCTCAGAACAGTTTTTCACGTTGCCTCAGTCCAATTTTAATCAGCTACGAGAGACGGCGGTGTTTCTGGATCACGTTCCCATACGGCTTCTTGTTTGCACGATAGAGCTTTAACCTGCCGTCCCGCGCAGATGGCACGGTGAGTTGTGTTCATAGGCAGAACCGACCCTGCACACACTGATTTCTCCCAACTCTCTGATTATTTTGATGATATTATGCATCATAGATGAGGAGATATTCACAGCCTTCACAATTTTAAATTCAGGAACATTATTCTGGAATATTTTACTTCTTAGAAACGGTGTCTCTGAGCTTCTCGGTGAATAAACTTTGGGTTTATGAAGTTTACAAAAACATTTTACGCTGCGTCCCAACTTTTTAGGAATTGGGATGGTGCGTCCATTTTCCCCGCTGGTGTCATTGATACATTACACATGATACTACACATACACAATATATACAAAAAGGTTGCTTGGACTGATTTAGAATATTAAACCAAGTTTCCATCAGATGTTAAAGGTTGCATAAAGAGATTCTGAGCAGATTAATGTGTAAACATGACTTAAAGTGTAAATGTTGCCATCATAGATTGTGCTAGCTTCAAGGCTTTTACAGATGACCTCACTAATCCAACTTATACCTTGAAAGCATGATTTGAATTATAAACCATCCACAGCAATGCTAGCTAATTGGAATTGCTAAGTCATGTGTTTCCTGATGTTGTTTTTCTTCCATCTCAAACACACTGACACAATTCCCCTAAACTCAACAAGTGAACATCAGTGAGATCTTGTGTTAAAAACTGCAGCCCACATGCAAACTTTAGTTTCCTTCCGTTGTCTTTTTTGTGCGTCATCTCCAAAACAGTGTGCATCACATCAGCTGAGATCTGCTCACAATCCATCAACCTGTATCTGAGGCGTCTCCAGAAAGGTCAACAGAACAAAATGTCACAAAACTACAAAACAAAAATCAGTCACGTTGTTTGTACGGCTGGTTAATGTCGCTGTGTGTATGGGATCCACACATTACAAAACTTTGTGTGTCTGTGGGAGCAGACAGAGTCCCCACTCACCCGCAGTGTTGCTCCCAGTGATCGCAGGCCTGTCGAGTGTCGGGCCAACTTTAACACTCTGAAGATCCTCATTAACCTGAACACCTGAGAGGACACAGAGTGGACTATGAGTCTGAATCTTTAAAAAGAGTCGAACTCTGGCTGCACGGCAGCAGCTGCAGACATTCACTACACTGATCCAACGGTGGAGTCACGAAGCTTCAAATAACGGGGTCAGTGTACGGACGCGTAATCGCCGCGAGCTTCAGACGGGTTTTTTTCTAATGAGCACAGAAGCCACACCCACCATGTGCTCTAAGCTTTTGTTTGCGAGGAACAGCCAATCTGAAGGAAGTTGCATCAACGACATGTTGGTGTTGAAGACCCTAGCATTAGCTCAGCAGCAGGCCCATTTTATTTTTAGTGCTCTTTAAATGACAGAAAGTAACAGAAAGAAGAGAAGACGAGCTTTAGGGAGATAAGCACAAAGCATTCATGGAAAAATCAGCTTCACATTACTGTAACTCCTCAACCACACTGGGCTACAGAAAAAATGGTTCCTCAAAGATGAGAGTTATTTTATAATTTTACAGCCAGAATGATAAAATAAGCCCAGGCCCAGTATGATACTGGTGTGATAAAGGGTTGAACAGTGGGTGAACGGAGGCGCCTCATTAAATATAACAGTTTTGAACTGTGAATGACAAAAAGTTTCTCAAATGTGACACGAAACCCTAAAAAAATCCCTGACCCCGATGTTTTAAATTTAAAATGAACTGAACGTTGTTGTTATAAAGAGCAGGTTTTGTGTTGTGGCATTTGAATCTTTGTCATTTTAGAAATATTGATTGAGAAATAGTTCCAGTTACACATGTATCATAGTTGTGCACTAATTAGCCGCACAGATCCATGAAATGCTAGACTGTCATTCAGGACCTGGAAATATATCAGACTAATGGAGCTACAATCCATAAGCCTTAGTTTCCTCCTGCTACAGGAGAATCTTAAGTGTGACATTAAGACCTGTGAGTAAGCATACACTCTTACATTGACTTCCTTTATGATTTCTCTTCATCGTGTGTAATATAAAATGAGTGTGGTCCAAGAACTGGTTGTTGTTGCTTGTGTGATCTCACTCTACATGGTCTGCAGTTATTAATACTGTCTCAGCGTTACAGTTTGAGGCTAGCAGAACCTCCACAGATGGTGCATGTAATATTAACAGTGAGCTCTTTGATGGGACTGATGAGATTAATACTGCATATCAGACACTGTCACCATAAATACAAACTATCACAGCCTTTACTGAGCGATTATGACAAATGTGACGAATCCTTCGTTACATTTTTACCAGAGCAGCATGCGGCCCACATCCACAGCACAGACCTGTATGAGTCGTCCCAGGTTGCCCAGCTCGGACTCGGATCCCAGAGTCATGTCAAAGAGCAGAGTGACGTAGATGGGAACCACAGACACCATGTCAATGATGTTCAGAGGGTGATGGAAGAACTTCTTCCTGTTTGGTGCGAGCAGCAGCCGCGTGACGACCTCAAAGAGATCACAAACACTCAGCGTTTGTCACTGTCCTCTGTGTTCAGCGTCTCTATCAGCACTGACATATTTGGGCCTAATATTTAAGTTTAGGTATTTTAACTGTGCCTGGAATTTGTGTTTGGTTTAAACAAAGTAAATAATTAAATGCAAGTCAAACCAATTGAATGAAGTATGTAACAGCTCATCATGGTCTGACTTTGCATTCTTTGAGGGTTTTTCTCTGTGTCTCGTGAGTTCCCCGCGTCTTTGTGTGATGTTCTTTGTCTTCCTTTCATTTTACTTCCTTCTTTATTTTTAAAGATTTATTTGACGGGACAGCAGTAAAGAGGGGAGAGAGAGCGGCGAAAGATACACAGTAAAGGAACATGGGCTCAAACCTCAAACTGACGTTCTTCCTGTTTTATTTTGAAGGGTATTTCCTCACTTGGCTTCCATAAGTTTAATTCCCTCCTTGTGTACCTTTCTCTCTCTGCTGTATTTACTCTGTTAGTCTTTGTGAAGTTGTCCCCGTGTCTTCCTTCACGACCTGTTTCTCTGTTGTTTTTTTTCACTTCCTGCTCCGTATATTTTCAGAGTGATCCTCTCTGTTCTGTGTTTCCTGCCTTCACCGTGTAGCACGTTGCTATCTTTCAGGAGTATTTAAAGTGCCTTTTCCTTCATCCCTGCAAAGACATTAAACTCTGTGCTGTGTTTCATCTTCCCTTTGATAAATCTCCAGCGTGAGATACATATTTATGATCATTTTAAAGCATATTATCTTTGTTTGCTTAACTGATACACAGTTAAGTTTATTACTTTTTTCCTTCTCATTGACATGCATGGGAAATGCCCTTATACACAACCTCAAATATTAGACCCAGTGAGCTTTTAGTGCACAGTAAAACAGTTCACAGCATGCTTAGTTTTAATCACCTCACCTCGAAGGTGAACCAGCAGGAGCAGAACACCTCCAGCGCCTGCATGGTCGGCTCTTCAATCAACTTTCCATCAGAATCAAAAGTCTGGGAGAAAAAAAGGACAGAGGACAGTTTCTAAAAGTGTTTTCAATTAAACATTTAGTGATTTCAAATGTATTAAAATTTGAGAGCCCATTAGATATTTTTATTTTGAAATAATTACAAACACAAATTTTTATTCATGTATCTTTTCAACGACAGGATTTGCTTTAACAGACATCAAAGGTAGAATGCTCAGTTCAGCATGAACGCTGATCTTAGAGCCAAAGAAAAGAGAAACAGACACATGGTGGCTAAACAGAAATGATCTGTTGTAATAAATGGAAAAGTGATGATATAAGGTGGACTAAGGATAAAAACGTGTTAAAAAATAGACTCAATAAGGCATCAAGAGTTTAAATAAAACACAAGTAAAACAGGGTCAATCTATCTGACTGATTAAATCATTTTATTGGTACTTTATTCTTCTGTAATTCTCTTTATGTAAATAGTTGTTCGTGTGTTTTGGGACTTAATCGGGAAAAATCTAAAGCACAGAGAGCTGCGTGTCCAAGCTGTCGATTTACTGGTTCATTTCGTTTCCCACCATCACCTTTGGCCACTTACTGAAAGAGTGAGGTCACAAACGAAGGAAATGAACTTCCTCTGCAGACTGTCTGAGCAGTTAAAGGACACACTGGAGAGATTATATCTCAGTTTACTTCCTTAAAAAGCTGGGAGAGCTGGCCAGGACATCGCTGTCCCTGTGACCTGGACCCGGGTACTTTGGCTTTTAGCATCACTCTGTTTGGATGCAAACAATTATCAGTATTTTACTTTGTTTTCAGTTCATAAGGTTGCTTCAAGCATGTTTTTCTGTCTTTCTCAGAGCGGATTTAAGGCTCTTTGTGAAAGACGTCTTTGGTAATATTATGCGAGTGTAAGTCACACAAAATTAGTTTGTCTATTTGATTTCACTGAGTTTGACTCTGAGAGCAAACAAACTGTTTTAATGAAACTGTGGATGAAAAAGGTTAAATACTCGAATTGTCTTCACGTGAGCCTAAATCAGCCCGATGAAGCCAACAGATGCTTCCTGCTGAAAGCTGACTGAACTGTGTTGTTTGGTCTCCATGTTTCCAGCTCGCCGTACCCACCTGATACTCTGGCATGCTGTTGATACACATGGTGGAGATGGATGTGAGCACCACTCCGATGGACAGCAGACTGAAGAGCTTGCTGGGGATGGAGTATCCCGGGTTCTCCAGCGTCAACCACAAACACTTCCTGATGTTCCCATAACGCACTTCCTGGAAGTGCTGCATGTCTCTGCGAGGGTGGAAAAAGGCAGCGAGTTAATAATTTATTTTAAAAAAGGAGAAAGAAAGTGCAGCTGTGTGTCTTTTACTTGTTTAAGTCGGATATCTCGTCCACAGATGTGTCTACACTGCTGGCGTCGCTCTCATCGTCCCAGCTACGATGTCGGCTGCTCTCCAGTTTGCGGTCGTGGTAACGGTAACTACAGCAACTGTCCAGGAAGAACTCATTGATGCCCCAGTACTCGATCTCCTGGCTGTTCGGGGAATAGAAGCCAAATCAAGGTTATCTATGCAGTATTTAAAGAAAAGTGCAAACTACATCAAAAGAAAATGATTTCCATCTGTTTTTTTCTTCATCTGCTTCCAATGTTATTAGTGCACTAAATGGATCCATGACTCCTATAATTACAGTATGCTGCATAAACAAAGGACATATGCAAGCAGGCCAAAGGCCTAATTCACGTTAAATCTCTGCTTGTTCTTTCCAGCACAAATATAACACTGACACACCTGAAGATCCACTACAGGATTTGCAGATTTGCTTTGGTGTGAAAACCAGGATGTGTTCCTGAAGGTAACCAAACAGGCTTTTTGAGCAAACCTCAGTTTAAGAAAAGTTAAAGAAAAGTAAAACAAAAGCAATCCAACCGTGGAGCTCAGTCTTTGCGTTCATGTCCAGGACACGGGACCAATCAAAGCCTCCACCACCAGCGCTGCACCCTCAGTGACTGTAGATGATGTCACATTTGTGCACAACAGCAGTGCTTCAGTGTGTGAGATCATGAATAAGAGGTGAGATGTTACAACTTAGTCTTAGTAGTTTGGGTTTGTGACTTTTTTAAAGGATCAGCTGCTTAAATTTTACACGATTGTGTAGAGTTGATGAATTCATTTTACTGTTTATGTTTTTAGGCTTTAAAGTTTTTCATGCAAAGCAACTATGAACAGTGAAGTCCGTTAGCAGCTGCTGTGTCTGATTACAGGTCAGATAAACCAAGAAAAACTGAACAGACTAAAACCTTTGTTTGAGTCACAAACGTCCACAATCAGTTCCAGCTGGATTGGTATGACAGGTGTAAAGGTTCTCTGGGATGCAGAGGGATGAGGATGTTAAAATGAATGTTGCTCAGACAGACCTGAAGGAGAAGACGCACAGCTCCTCCATGATGTGAAGTTTGCCAGTTTGGTAGAAGTGGATGACGTAAGGGAACAGGCCGGGATTCCTATCAAAGTAAAACTCCTTCTCCTGCACATCATAGTCATCACACACCTATAGCAGGAAAGGTGGGAATACGACAGAGGAAGAGTGAAGAAGAAGAGAAGCAGGTGGGCTTTTAGCAAGTCAAGCAAAAATCCATCAGGTCTCGTGTCAGTCGTATCCCGCTCACACCCAAACACCTGCAGTATGGCCTCCTCTGAGTCACATGCCAGCAGCTTTCCCAGTCTGGTGTCTGGGAATTTCTTCAGCGTGCTGGAACAGAGGCTCCTCTTCAGACCTCCGACGTTCACGTGGACGAGACCCTCGTCAGAGTCCTGGTGAGCCCAGCTGGGCAGACTCTCCTTCCCCATGGTTAGATCAGCTGAGACACAAAGACAATGAAATGAACACAAACTGAAAAACACCGCTGTGACACTTTTTAGAGACATTTAATTTAGTGGTTACATTATTAAAAGACACGATGTAGATAAAAAGGAAACTGTGAGTCTGATCTATCAGTGTGTTAGCCTGAGTCCTGTAAACATACCCTTTCCAACATATTTACCACATCATGCCAGTATACTCAACCATCTGTCACCATTCATTTCCTTTCACCGCATCCCCGCATGTCTCTGCTGCAACAGTTTCCCTTTGTGTAAGTCATTTGTGATAAAATTGCTGGTTAATTTCAAAAACTGTGAACATATATGGATAAAACCCAAACAGCCAAGCTGTGCTCAGACATAAAAATCAATTCAGCTTTGAATTAAATCTCCACAGGACACAAACACAGATCTGCAGCAGTTTCTGTGAAGACTTCTCATTATCCCCCCTCTTGATTCTTGTCTCACATGTGAATCTGTCAGTAAGACACATGACTGAGACAGCGAGAGAAATGAAGCATTAAAATGTAATCATCTTAAAAGGAAAAGACATCAGAGGTGGAAAAGCCAATTCAAAGTGATGTTTCCTAACTTAAATCGGCGTTTTCTGCCGTGGTTCTGCTGGGCCGAAGCTCAGAGGCATTTCTCAACGTTTTTTTCAAAGGGAATTTATCGACGCATGGTTTTCTGAGTACACGCGATCTTTACGTTCCAGATTCAGTTACATGAGGGCTGCTTCATATTCGGCAACCGCAGCCTTCTAGTGAGGAGTAAGTACTGCGATTCAGTATCACTAACAATGATAAATAATGCCCCTCTGTTCTACTATCACTCACTCAGACGATCAAGTTTTATTCTTATTCTTGCATCTATACGTCATGTACAGGTAGAGGAAACCTGTACAGTTTATCCTTCTCCTCCTTCCTTCTATGAGTCACATGTTCCAGGCTTCAGACTGTGCTAAACACTCAGATTCACACAGTTTTTTCTGCTCTTGGGTCTTTGTGATGTCATAAAGAGTGGACATCTCCACCCATGTCCATCCTGGACATTATGGATGGGGATAGAAAATAATATATTCCCTAAAACCTTCAGTTTGTGATGAGCGACCAATCAGAAACAAGCTGGGAGGAGCTAAATCGTCTGGTTTCAGACAGAGGATGAACTGGAAGTTTCACCATGACATAAACAAGGATTATTTTGAAGTGCGATCACTCAGAGCTATTCTTGGGGCTGGAAATTAGCTGAATACGACCCCTTTGATGACAGACACAACATTTTAATGGAAGCTGTGATCGTTTGACAGTTAATGTGCATCTGACTGAATCATGACTCATCTCTCGCCCTTAATCTTTGTCGTCTTTATCTCAAGCTGAGTCAGCACTCGTCAAACCCCCCATGAGGAGCGTGTAACAAAGAAGAGTCTCAGCTTTATTTTCTGCTCCAAACGTTTGAGCTTCTTTTTAAAATTCTAGCTCCTCTAACTCCACCTGCTGCTCTAAATGGACTTTTAAGACCAGGGGGGCAGAAACTAATATGTAAGTACATAGAGACATTTTCATGTTGACCACAAAACACAACGAGCACTGGCTGAGAGCCAGACTTAATCTAAGCGTAACCACAGTTTGCACATTTTCAAAGTGTTTCTGTGCAAGAAGCAGAAGATTTAAAACGGTTCTTCTGACCTCATGGTTTCTTGCAACTTTCTCCATCAAGTTTAAAAAAACAAAAACAACATATATCGATGCAGCCAGAACTCCCACACGTGCTCATTTACTGTACTCCCGGTGCAAACACCCACACAGCGCGCATACTTTCACAACAAAAAGAAGCTACACAATGAAATCAGACAACAGATGAGTAAATTACAAAGTTCACATCAAACCCCCAAAATTGTGGAAAGTGCTGTGATGCTATCAGCGTCTCCCAAATCTTCCTGCTGTGATTTAAGATGTTTTTAACAATACCAAGGTAACATGACCGCCAGGAAAACATAATTCAGTCCTGTTTAGTTGCCAAGAATTGTATTAATATCGCTTAGCAACAAGTAAAGGTTGTGAGGATGAAGGTGTCTGCAGCACTGTTTTCATTTTCACTCCATCACCGCCAGTTTGAGCTGAGTGTAACTCGTGTTTTTGGAGCTACAATTTACAGCCGTCCCCCAAACACACCACACAACAGTTTATCGTGACACTCTTTCAAAGACCTGTCTGAGGGCTGAGACTTGGCGTCATGTGACGACTAGAGCTGGATATTATACGGCATGTCTGGTGAGGATTCCCCCACAAAAAACGTTTGAACCTGACACTTCATAACTTGTGTTTCTGCACCAATTTGTTCTTTTTTTCACTGATGTCTTTAAAGGGAACACAAAAATCCATCAGTATATATACTGCAGTCTAATAATGTGAGGCTTTAAGGCCATACTGTGTTGCTTTTAAAAAATTATGCTCAGTTATTCCTTGTAATAGTATCCCTGCTGGGTTAACTCGCAGACACATTTCCTCTTCATCTTCTGTGTTTTGACTTTTGCAGTCATCAGTCTGAGCTGACGACGTGTCAGGCTGCTTTTATGTGGGGAAATCTGGTTAAACATGTGTCACATGGTCACATCAGTACTAAACTGTTGTGTATATTTTAAGCCACTTTTAATAGGTCAGATGCACTTCAGACAGAAAATGCTGCTTCCAGTTTGGATTGTGATTGGTATTCCCTCAGTGTACACCCTCCTTATATTTCTGAGCCTTTGTGTGGCCGTCCTCTACACACAGAGTGGAGCAGGCAGCAGATGCTGCAGGGGAAACAAAGGCAGCACAGGTGTAAATATCCAAACAGTTGCTTCTCATGTGGTGCTCACTCTAGCAGGACCGAGGACATCCATCCATCCATCCATCCATCCATCCATCCATTGTGAGGCTGCAGTAAGTGCCTCGCTGCAGGTAAAGTGTAGCTATAATGTAATGTAACAAGGTTACACAGCCTCTAATTACAGAGTGTAGGAAATCGCCCGAGGAATCGCAGAGAGGTGTTAACCTAATGTGGACATAATGGCGTTTTAACCAGGACGCTCTGACTTCATCTGCTCCTGAATCTTTCACTGTCTTCCTGCTGGTATTTAATCCGGTTTCTCTTCGCTCAGCTCACTGATTTATGGTCACACGTCCTGGCTATTGTTCGCTTTACCGCAGCTGGAATCTGTCTTCATCCGTCAGCGGCATGTTTGGGTCAAACTCAGAGACGGGTGTAAGAACTCACAGAGCGCTGGACAAGAATAACAATAATAATAATAATAATAATAATAATAATACTTCCATGTACGTTACTATATAACGCTCTTTTACACTTGACCACATTTTTAACAGAAAAACAGATTTTTTTACATCCCTTTGAATTCGTGTGTAGCTACATGTTTATTTAAAAGTTGTCCATGAATAATTTATGAAATATGATTTCAGTCTGAAAACGCCAACATTACATTCAGCTGCTGAAACATTAGAATCCAGCCACACAGTAATGCACAGCTGATATATTTCGGATATACTTCACTGTAATCTCTGGTCTCCTCTTTGCTGTGTTTGGTTTCTTTGGTGATTTTTAGTTAATCGTATTTATGTGAATGTTTTGTCTCTGCATGGTCATTGTCTGTTTTTTTATGGTTGGTCTTTGTGGTTCTCTTGTGTTTTCTTGTTTCATGTGGTTGGTTTTATGGTTATTTTTCATCCTTCATAATTGTTTATGCTCTCTTTGTGGCACATCCTTGTAAATGCATACATTGTTGTGAAACCACGAGAGTTAACGGTCCCTCTCTGAAGTTGATGCATGTTCAGAAATCCATTTCTAAAGATTCAACGACCGAATGCCTCCATGCATTAAACTGATAAGGCAAGAGTATTTAACCACTGAAAATGGCCTCTAGTGATAAAAGCTGAATGTAAACAAAACTTACAAAATAATCTGAACTCAGGAGTGTCTTACTGGACCTCTTAAACTCATCACACAGCCTTGTCTAAGGAGCTTGGAAAGAAAAGCGACTGGATTTTTCACCTCTCATCTGAGAAGCTTCTTCATTCTAGGGTCAAATGGTGGAGAGTCCCAGATTTAAACTAGAGATGGCACGATACCACTTTTTAATATCCGATACCGATTCTGATATCATAAATTTGAATATCTGCTGATACCGATATGAAGCCGATATAGCGTATTTTGTAATCAATAAAACTGTTTTTTATAAATATCTCGCTGCATTTTGTATAAGTTCATACTTAAGTTTTAAAAAACAAGCGACCGAAGCTATTCTGTTATACCTGTATGCAAAAAATACACTACACACAAAACATTTTATAGTTTAGCAACACTGATCAATCTAATAAATTTAAACCTACACCATCCTCCCTATTCTGGTATTTTAAAGAGTAGTTACCTACCTCACTAATAGGGTTGCAAACTCCCAGCAAAAATATTAGGGAACCACCCCCCGCCCTTAATCGATGTAATCAACTTTAATTTAATGCAAATGTAAAACAAATGCACAGAAATCAATTATTTTTCTACAATAATTAAATAGATTCAACATCTTTCTTCAACAGAATTGCAGACTGCACAGATGGTACCAAAGGAAAAAGTACTATAGCTTATTAAGGTGTATATTAGACTTATTAGTTACTATATACAGTAATGGATTTCTATACATTTAATCAGATGACCTCTTTTGTTGTAAGATTCAGATAATTATTTATTCAAAGTTTTTAAATGACATAACATAGAAAAGTATGTCTTTGTGCCCCCCTCTCCCTGTTAATGCCCTACCTGGCCCCCGACATAACTTTGCTAGACCCGCCCCTGCACAGTTACCAGCCTTCAGCTATGTAAAAAAGGATCCTGGTGTTAGTTGTCTCTCAGAAACAGTTCATAACTTCCCTTCAACTCATTCAACTAAAAGGTAAACCTGTTTCTTCATCACCTGTTCAGCTCTGATGGTTCAGTAAGGACATCTCCTGGTTTCATCTTCACGTTTCCCTCTCACCACATATGCAAACCGATATCATGACCAGCAGCTTTTATAAATACATTCTGCTGTTGTTTATCCG